CCACGTATGCACAGAGAGAACGTGCACAAAACATGTTACCGCTCCAAATCTGCAGAAAACTAAAACTGAATATGTCAAACAGTGTCGAGTTCGGTGAACACACAAAAACGAGCATCAACGCTGGTGGACGCCTTCCAGCTACGTTTACATGCACAAAATTATTTGATCGGATTGAAATGTTTTCAGATTAAATAATTCAAATTTATCGTTTCCACTGCGCGATCTGTTCACGACAAGTGTTTACATGCAGCGAGCTTTTATTCAGAACAGAAGTACTGACATGCGTAGAGCGGTAAACTTTCCTTAAAAACCACAGAAGAAGAAGTTCTACTTCCTGGATGAACGTAAACAAACCTGCGCACCAAAATGGACCCGCGACAGGTTTTAATGACGGTGACACGTTGCTGCACTCCCCGACAGCTGCAGGTCAAACGGATCATTCGGAGCTCTTTCCAAGTTTCTAGTAGAAAAGTTGTCGCTCAACGACCAGTTTGACTTTCGACAGATTAAAATGAGCCAGGAGGAAACACGTGAGGTTGACAAAGGTCGCACATGCACAGTCAGGTCAGTTTTTCACGATCTGAATAAAACGATCAGATTAAGTGTTTACATGCACAATGTTCAGATTATGAATCAGCATTAAACCACCCCTCTCATTCAGATTACAAATTCATTCAGATTGATCTGAATAAACAAAGAATAATCCAAATAGGGCGTTTATACGACACGTTTGTATTCCGAATGGCCGTTTAATCTGACTACTTGTGTCCATGTAAACAGAGTTGCCTTCATAGGTGCCGTAACACCGTTGTGCCGTCTGAAAGCAGACGTGGAACCGTCATGTTTCAGTCGGTGTGGTCGAGCAGAGCAGGCAAGATCTTCCTAAACGGACGTCAAATTAAGTTTTTTTAATGCACACACCCAAAAGGATCTGAATGACCATTTACAAACTCAAAATGACCCAGTTGAGACACCTTGAGGTGTGATACACTCCAGGGTATGAAAAGTTGTGCTCTGATCTGAAGGCTTAAAAAACCAGACAAAGACACACAGCCGAAGCTTTACCACAGATCAGACGCTTTAAAATCACTCGGAGCAAATAAAACTTTACAACTAAACTAACCAACAACAAAAGAAAAAAATGTTTCATTGGCTGAGCTAAAATTCTGCTTGAAAAAGATCTGTGAAATAAAAAGAGTTACAACCGATCTGTGTTTGGCAACAGTTTACAACAGCTTTATTCAGCCAAAGCAACGAGACGTCTTCACTTAACGCATAAAGAAACAGAAAGAAACACAAAGAAACTCAAAGGTTCATGTGGAAGTTCAGAGTCCAGACTTTCTAAATACAAAAGCACCAAGTCCCTGAAAAGTAAAGTTTCCAGTGAGACAGGTTCCTTCACAGCAACAACATACAAAAGATATTAAATCAATTGTTGCTGTCACTGAATTAACTTTTAAAAACAGATGTCCACATGTTGACCAACTTATTTTTTGATTAATGAGCACAAGGGGAAAGCAAACCCACTTTAACAATGGAAGCTGTGCCTAAATTCAAACCGAGGGCAGAGTTGTCATTTACAGAAGTTCTTCTCATTTCTGTCATTCTCTAAATGTATTTTAAATTATTTTGTACCTAAAAGAGAAAGTTTCCCTCAGTAAACTGAAATGAGGCCAAAACTAAAGCATGTTGGACAAGTGTAAATATGCAGAAAAACAAAATCAAAGCAGGTATAGATTATTGGTAATCAAAGACAACAGCAGCCGATATGTGGAGCATGCAACGTTACAATTTACACTTTAAAGTCAAACTTAAAGACAAAAGTCTTCAACGCCAAACTAAGCTGCAAATCTACATTTATTGCTGCAAAAAGGCAAAGGTGGGTGATGATGTCTGCTCGTGCATGTGAGTGCGTCCTCATCTGATACCAAATGATATCATGAACAAACGAGACACGTTGTTACAACGGACAACTTCAACTCAGTCAGTTTGACAGATGTTGAACTGATGTGTGGTAGAAGCTGAGACAGTTCGGTCCCCAACACTATTACGGATTAATATTCTGAGTGTTCAGACTGATCTTTATGTAAAATATTTGCAATTACCAAGTACTAATAAGAGTCAACTAGGTCTGTTAATAAAATACTTATTGGCATTTTAATAAAACTTTCAGGAAATAAACATTTAATGGATGTCTACAAGTGATTAACTTTTGGAGCCTATCCATTTAAGATGACCGCCACAACCAACTGGTTGAAGAATCACAAAAAGGCCTACAATTCATTCATTCATTCATTTTACTCATATTGTGCTTGGATCTGGTGTGGTAGTAGCTGAGAGTCGTTCACAACATCCAGCGCCACACACTGTGTGAGATCTTTGCTAAAAGCTTCAGAATCAACTGTAAGAGTTTGTCTGTTAGCAAAATATATCATGAATTACTTCTGTGGAAATATAATAATCTATGGTCCACTCCACTTGCGTGAGGACAACTGATCATTACACGTGTGGACCAGTGAAGCACGTGCATTAAAGATGGTTTTAAACAGAACTGGCGTTGGACAAATAAAATGGACGAGCTTTGATTTGTGATGAATGCAGGAAGCTGGTGAAGATTCTCCATCATCCAGGACATGATGAATTCAAAGAGCGTTCAAAACATCACCAGGAGAAACCCTTGTATCGTATGATGTGACTTCTCTTTTCACATGCATACCCATCTCTGAAGCAGTAGAAACCGTCAGAAAACAACTTCTACAAGACAAGGACTTAATCAACAGGACCAACTTCACCCCAGACCAGATCTGCACCCTGTTGGA